TCCCATCCCCTCCCCCCCCCCCCCCCCCCCCCCGCCAAACTATACTACACAACGCCGAAAGCTCAGTCTCTGCCCGAAGGGGTCCGGACCGAATGGAAAACTTTAAGAACTTACCGTTCTTTTACTAGAAAGTTCAAGTGATTTTTTTAGAACTTTTTATGGGAAAATAATGGCCTACGAAGCCCATGAATTCATGCAGATGTATGGCGCCAGTTATAAAGTACGCGCCGCAATTTCTAAAAGAAAGAAAAAAACATTGCTTATGACCTTTGAATAAGTTAACGGATATTTCTAAAACTTTAACATCACTCATTTTGAGCGAGGAATGAGTGTTCGGCGTTGTTTGGCATATTTGTTTTTAAATATGAGAAACACACTTTTTTTTTTTGGGGGGGGGGGGGGAGGGGGGGGGGGCTTACAGTTAGGCTTTTTTTTAGACTCGAGCTATATTTAAGCAATTGGGCAGTTGCAATTACGCCTCAAAGCTGAGTGTGCCTTAGCAGCTGCTACGAAATAAAGTGGACCAGATGAAATACTATACACCTTGCATAGATTGAAAATTGTAGAGACTCTGGAGGCGACAGGTCTTCCCTGCGGATACCATTGCTGAGTAGAGGAGATCGCGCGCACGGTTTTAATCGGAGCTCAGCTTGGGAGACGATACACGTCGGTACCTTTGACTGCATTGCCGCAGGAAGTTGCCCCGAAGTATAGACGACTTGAAACAGGGCGTCTGGCCGCTGCCATGTTCCTGTTAGCGCGACGAAGCAAGTGAAATTGCAAGCCTGCCAAAGCCACCTTCACGCACCTGCTCCACGTACTTTATCACATGGGGCACCAGTCATGACCCCATGGTTGCAAACATGTATGGTACCATTTGCACTCAGGTAAGGCAGTGAGCAGTACACCCGCAGGCGATATGAAGGTGAACGCCGGACCGTCGACCGGTCCGTGCTATCAGCGCCATCACGCGGCTGCCGTGGCGGCTCGCTTTCTTATCGCACTCTTCGCCGAGACCCTACCGAGATTAAACGCTTAGATCGAACGCTGTTCTCAGCTCTGCTGCTACTCCCCGCAGAAAGCGCGAGAATTGCAGAAGGAGCATTTCAGACGGTATTGTTAGACAATGTGATTTAGTAATTTTTTTTTTGTTGCGATATGTGCTAAACTGGAAAGCTGTGGAACAAATGAAAAAGTAACTTATCCTTTCCGTTTCTTAAAAAGAACAGTTATTAGCGTTCGCAGTTATTACAGAAGAACGTCCGCTCTAGTTCACGTGCAATGTGCAAATCATTTGCCGGCAATGACGGGAGCACGGCGCCCACAAAAACGATGCCGAAATCGAAACCCGACTTCCACGCTTTCTGCGGGGAGTAGCGTCACAGCTGAGAACAGCGCTCAATCTAAGCGCTTAATCTCGGCAAAGCGAGCGATAAGAAAGCGAGCCGCCACGGCAGCCGCGTCATGGTGCTGATAGCACGTACCGGTCGACGGTCCGCCGTTCACCTACATATCGCCTGCGGGTGTATTTCTCGTGAAGACATGGTTGACAATATTTTTGGCTCAGTAAAAAAACATTGGTTAATCTGGATTTATTTGCAATTTTTAAATGCAACAGATTTTTAACGCGATAGCAACCGCCACCTCTCGTCGTGTTATCTACATAGCTATTATAATAAATGTTATATCCCCAAAATGTTCCAGTTCCCATTCATTGGTGTTTTTATAAGAGACACAAAACTCCTAAAAACATTTTAACTTGCATAGATACTACACATACGGAACAAATAAACTTTCCCCCAAAAAAATAGCGCAATATTTACACCATGACACGCAATTTGAATGGAGGTACGCAACGCCCACAACATGTTCTATTGCTTGGCGGCTCAGCCGAACACCGTACGCAGGCCTAAGGCCGCCCTGTCACAACTTCTGGTGCGTTTAGTCTGCACCAGTGGTCTGCACCGTCTGCTACTTGTTCAAGCGTTGGGGTGTCAGCGTCCGCCATCATCTGCCACCATTTTCTATTCCACCACTGTCTGCCATTCGTGCGGACGCGATATCATGAAAGCGATTTATCATACACAAACCACGGTCGAATACATGTGTCCGTCAGTGTCTGCCCAAGCGCGCTAAAAACGCCCGAAAAAAAAAAAAAAAAATCTGCGTCTTATTAAAACGCTTATGCCCGAGTCCCACTACAGTGACAAACGGAAACAAACGACAGCGACAAGCCTCAAACGTATGCATGCAGCCTGCTCGCGATGTTAGTAAATTTGGCAGGCGTTTAGTCGTTCGGTGCTCGTGAAATAAGCACCAGTGATTGCAAGCCTGCCAAAGATACCCTCGCGTGCATGATGCTCGTGTTTGCGCATAACCTCTTTTATGCTTCAAAGCATGTCATATCACGAAACGCTCTGGTTTGAGGCTTGTCGCTGTCGGTTTTTTCTCTTTGTCGCACTAGTGGGCCGCGGGCATCAGAATTTGCATTCTTTTTCAAATCTTTTGTTGCTCTTGTTGTTTATAACGTCCATAAGCGAAGCAGGGGAGGGGATTGACGCTGCTCAAAACTTGAACAACAGGACTTGAAGACTTTCGTAATGTAATGACGGGAACGTAACTGGACAAATCTAATGCTCGAAAAACACCTGATTGCTTCCAGCCAAGTGGCTCGCGATGGACCTTTTCCGAGAAGCGTACTGCGCACGCGCGAGCGCCCGATGCCAAGCGGCGAAAGTCGGAACGAAAAATCGAGGAAATTCCGAATGAGCCTGTGGATAAGCGAGTAGAACAGGTAATTGCAGCATATATATATTTGGGTTACACAAAAAAAGAAAGCGGACGGAAGAAAAAACACAACGATAGGGTGGACGCCACGGATGCCCATCTTTAAGCTCGCGTTAAGCACGCGACGCAGCTCGGAGAGCGAAGAAACTGGTAGCGTAGCTCCCGGTATCGATTGGTAGCGCAGGTAGGTCACTTCCTCGATTTTTAGTTCGTGCAGCCACCGCCTGGTGCCGTCGGTTTGTAGAAAAGGTCCATTTGTCGCCCGTAGGTTATCCTATTAGTACTGGAGCCGTGATCACGATCACGATTGTTGCGACCCGGGGCTCGACATCGCTACTGACGCCATGACGAAACCGCACTTGTTTATTCAGGTGCTGCTCCTGTCTGCTATCGTCCCATCGAAGCTTGCCGTGGATTGCCCGACCGTGACCCGTGGTTCCACCGACGACGCACATCATCTGTTCAAGGAGGATGACACCGTACAAATGCCGCACACGGCCACTCTGCTAAGCTCAGCCAGTTTCACCAACTTCGGCTGGCAACGAGGAGCAACGACTGCGGAGCCTGGGGAGGGTCTACTAAAGCCGCTTCAACGGTCTGGCCAGTTGGGGCTCGACATCGCTACTGACGCCATGACGAAACCGCACTTGTTTATTCAGGTGCTGCTCCTGTCTGCTATCGTCCCATCGAAGCTTGCCGTGGATTGCCCGACCGTGACGACGCACATCATCTGTTCAAGGAGGATGACACCGTACAAATGCCGCACACGGCCACTCTGCTAAGCTCAGCCAGTTTCACCAACTTCGGCTGGCAACGAGGAGCAACGACTGCGGAGCCTGGGGAGGGTCTACTAAAGCCGCTTCAACGGTCTGGCCAGTTGGGGCTCGACATCGCTACTGACGCCATGACAAAACCGCACTTGTTTATTCAGGTGCTGCTCCTGTCTGCTATCGTCCCATCGAAGCTTGCCGTGGATTGCCCGACCGTGACGACGCACATCATCTGTTCAAGGAGGATGACACCGTACAAATGCCGCACACGGCCACTCTGCTAAGCTCAGCCAGTTTCACCAACTTCGGCTGGCAACGAGGAGCAACGACTGCGGAGCCTGGGGAGGGTCTACTAAAGCCGCTTCAACGGTCTGGCCAGTTGGGGCTCGACATCGCTACTGACGCCATGACGAAACCGCACTTGTTTATTCAGGTTAGTTACCTTAGGAATGCCAAATGTTTCCGCAGTAATGATTTGTGCCTTTTTTTAGTGTCGAGCCCCTACGACAATGTGTGCACTTCATGGAAGTATCTTTGTTACTGCTGTTTTCATTACTCATACATATCTTTAGTCTCCCGACTACTCTTAGCTTTGTCGGGTGACGCGGAATCTAACCCGGGCCCACTGACGGTCAGTGAGCAACTAGAAAGCATTCTTGCAACAGTTCAGAGAATTGAGGCCTCACAGTCGGAGATTTTCGCAAAAGTCGCGTCCTTAGATAGCGGACTGAAGGCAACAGACGCCACCGTCCAGCAACTATCTACCAGGTTATCTGCTGTGGAAACTAGTCTTGTTGCGACGAGCGCCACACCTGGGATTTCACCCGTTCTTAACATGTCCGTCGAGCTAACCAACATCCAGAAACAGTGTGACGATAACGAAAACAGGCTTCGAAGATCGAATCTTTTATTTTTTGGCTGCCCAGATGACCAGGCGGAGACATGGAGCCAATCGGAAAGAAAAATTATCGATTTCTGCGCTAACAATCTAGGCGTACAGCTGGATCCCTCTAATCTAGAGAGATCGCACCGTCTGGGGAAATTTCAACCTGATAAACATAGGCCAATCATCGTCAAGTTTTCCCGGTTTAAAGACAAAGAGAGCATTTTGACTGCCGGATTCAAACTGAAAGACACATTTTGCCGTCCGTAAGGGTTTTTCTGAGGCCGTACGCTTTGCCCGCAGTAAGCTTTATGAGTATGGAAAGAGTCTAAATGTGCCGTTTAAAGTTCGTTGTAACAAACTGCACATCAATAACAAACGTTTCGTCTTTGACGTAGAGTCTCAGTCTGTAGTTGAGCTCGCATAACTAGGTACACGTAAAAAAAACAAAGCTTTGTCATCTTAATGCTTCACAGCGCACAAGATCAGACACACTTAAAAACGAAAATCACGCACACACAGGAAGAACACTCACGCAGCGCTGACTGACAACTGATGATGATGATTAACTTTATTTTCAAAAAGGGTGGCGCCATGGCCTCATTGGGGGAAGGGGAACATAGGTAGGAAAACTTTACATTCGGCGGTGCACTCCTGTCGAGCGCGCGAACTCCCATAGGGAGATCAGCGTCTCCCTGGCCCGTGCCTCGTTAACCGGTGTGATCCAGGCCTCTAAAGTGTCGATGTGAGGCCCCAGGTGTTCGGCTCTTTTGTCTCGCAAGCCGGCACAATCCCAGAGTAAGTGTCGGATCGTCGGGCTCACGCCGGCGGTGCATGTAGTGCAGACGACAAGTGCAGCGGGCTCGGACCCTTCCGGTGGCACTTGGTCGGGTGGGCGGCCCCTCCGTGGTTTGTAGCTACGCCACCGAGCGAGTATGTCTTCGGTGAGCGCAGCTCCGGTGCGGGCCTTGTGAATTAACACTTGTGCCCCTCTGGGTAAACCCTTGGGTAGCGGTGCCGGGTTGTAGGGTGTTTGATCTCGCAGCCGACGCTGATCCTCTTGTCGGGCCGCAGATTTCTTCTCTATGGGGTCTGGGTCCGGCGGCGCGAAGGGGACGAAGATCCCTGGGTTGGAGCGGTCTTCCCTTTGCTCGCTCGCCCACGCGTGTGCGGCCTCGTTACCGATGCCGCCCGCGTGTCCCGGGACCCAGTCCACTCTCACCTCAATACCTTTGGTGTTTTTCAAATACGAGCACAGACTCTTGATTCGCTGGCAGAGCGTCCCTTCGCGAGGAGTTTTCCCCAGACGGGCAAGGGCTTCCCTACAATCCGTGAAGATGGTTACACGGGTGGGTACGTCCACTGGGTCGAATGTCTCTCTTATTCGAGATAGTGCCAGGTGTATTGCATCCAGTTCGAGGCGGCTCGTGCTAGGTTCGCTGTCGTATTGAAGTGTCTGAGCATATCGGTCCTGGCCAGTAGCGTAGGCGAGTGTGGCCCGCTTCGTCTCTTGGCACCATGCGGCGTCTGTGAAGACCGCGTGCTCCACGAGGTCTGCCCGCGCAGCAAGTGCAGCTCTTTCTTCTGAATGTTCTTCGCGGTGTTGTTTGCGAGTGAGCGGCTTGGGGTTTCTGACCATAATGTCCTCCCATGGTGGCATGCTCTTCAGAGGCGGGGCCTCTCCTACGGGAGGCCGCCAACCCTGTAAATCCAGAAGACGTTGACCGGCTCTAGTCGATGTCCGGCGCCGCTGATGGCCGGCAACGCGGGTCTCAATGATGGCTTGTAGAGTCGGAAGATTCGAGTACCGATACAGCTCTTCCGTCTTAGTGTGTCTTGGGAGACCGGTGATTGCACGCAGGCTTTCACGATGCAATATTTCCAGCTGTTTGAGCTGCGCCTTGGTCAGGACGAAACATGCGGCTCCATAGCAGGCTTTTGAGGTCAGGACTGCTTGAGTGAGCAAGCGGATGGTGCTCGTGCCCGCGCCACCGAGGCGGTTGCCCATTCTCTTAATGAGTTGGAGCTGTTGTCGCCACTTGGGTTTGAGTTGCTTGATCCACTCTTGCGCTCCTCCTTGTTCGTGCAGTGGGACTCCCAATATGCGAATCCAGCGTTCGGGGGAGCGCTGAATGGATTGGCCGGCCAGGGTCAGGTGTATTTGAGCTCTGTTGTGCTCAAGACCGCCGACGATGAGGAAGGCTGTCTTCTCTGGGGAAGGTTGCATGCCCGTAGTTTGCAGGCACTGGTCAATGGCATCTAGGGCCATCTGCATGGTTTCGACCGTTTCTTTAGTGTCGAGCTTTGTGTTTCGGGGGTCCACCCAAAGGGTGATGTCGTCCGCATAAGTTGTGTGCTGAAGGTGTGGGATGGCGCGCAACACTCTTGCTATTTTTCTCATGACCAAGTTGAAAAGGGTCGGCGAAAGGATGGCTCCTTGAGGTACTCCACGGAAATTCTGGAACATGCGGGGTTGCTGGGCGCCCGAGCTGATCTCAAAGGTACGATTCTTGAGGAAGCTTTTCACGAAATTGATTATGCGGGTGCCTGCGCCACTCTCTTCGAGTTCCTCGATCACTGCCGAATGCTCGACGGTGTCAAAAGCTTTCCGGAGATCCACTGCCACCAGGAGTCCGGGTACCTTGTTGGTTCCTCGGCGCCTCTTACCCACAAAGTTTCGAAGGAGGTGTAGGCTGTCGTGGGTGCACAGTCCGGGGCGAAAACCGGTCTGCGCAGTGTCGTAGTAAGGGTCGTCCCTGGCTTCTTCCAAGACATACGTGAGTCGCGTAAGGATCATCCGTTCGATTAGCTTGCATAGCGTAGACGTAAGTGAGATTGGTCGGAGGTTCTGTATTTGATCCGGACTCTTTCCTGGTTTCGGAATAGGGTACACCACTGAATGTTTCCAGTCGGCCGGTAGTACTCCTGACGCCCAGACGTCGTTAAGTTCTTTCAGGAGCTTTCGTTTCTCCGGCTCGTCCAGGTTGCGCAGCATGCGCCACGTGATTCCATCCTTGCCAGGGGCGCTGCGCTCGTTGACAGAGTCCAAGGCCAGTGTCAATTCTTGAATCGTGAACGGGGCGTCTTGTTCTGTGTCGCTCGGCGGTTGCAGTTCGTACAGGCACAGGTCCGGATCGTTAGCAGGTTGTGGGAAAAAGGCCTTGGCGGCCGCTTCCTCAAACTGCTCCGGAGTTTGGTCGGTGGCTAGCTGGATGTTGCGAGCAGTGTTGGGCGCCTTGGTCTTGCCGGTCAAGGCTCTGTGGGCGCGCCATAGCTTGCGGGTGCCAGTTCGTTCGTCAAACGTCGCGCAGTGGTCAAGCCACCTCGAGCGAGCCAGGCGGTTGGCATATCTACGTCCCTGTGCCGTCTTGTTGCGCAAACGCACTAGGTCCTTGAATCGTTTGCCGTTGTTAAGATATATCTTGTGGAGCCGCTTGCGTGCTTCCCACAGGTTGATTAGATGTTTGTCGGGAACCGGGTCTTGGTCTTCCACCTCCAGGTTTCGCGTGGCCGCTTGCGCTGCCCTCAGTAATTTTGCGGTTACGGGAACCGCGTCTTCGCACGTGGCCACCGCCTTTCGGAAGGCGTCCCAGTCGATAGCCTGAGTTAAACGTCTGCGCCCTGCTTTGCCGCCGGTTGAGAGCTCCAGCCAGATGGGATAGTGGTCGGACCCCATAGGGTCCGGTCCGCACCGCCAGTCGGTCACCAGTCGGGAGTCTGCCCAGGTCAGGTCCGGGGTGGTGTCTCGCTGTCCCTCGTGCAGTCCGTGGCGCGTTGGGTAGTCGAGGTCGTTGGCCAGGGTGAGGTGCGCCAACTCCGCTGCCTCCTTTAGCCGCGCGCCCCTGGCGTTAGCAATCGAGTACCCCCAGTCCGGGTGGTGCGCGTTAAAATCGCCCGCCACGAGCAGGCGGTCACGGGGGTAGCGCTGCCGGAGGTCCATCAGCCATTGGAAGCCGGCTTGTCCAGCGTGGCCGCGCCTGGAACAGCTTGACTCAGGTCTCGCGTAGCAGGAGGTTAGGATGACCCGGTGACGTCCAAGCGTGCAGCGAACCGCCACCACCTCCTGGAACGGGTTGCAGTAGGCCGTCGTATCTATTTGTGCCTGTGGGAGGCCTTTGCGCACAAACACCGCAGCTTGTGCTTCAATGGTCTGAGATGTGTCACTTGATCCGCCTCTTAGTCCGTGTTCAATCGTTGGTTGGAAGTATCCGTTGAAGCCCGAGATGCCCGGACTCATCCCCCGTGTCTCCTGCAGCAGAAGCGCCGCCGGCCTTCCGGTTAAGCGGAAGAGCTCGACAAGCTCGGCAGCGCTCTGACGTAGCGAGCGGCAGTTCCACTGCAGGAGGTCGGGAGGACGCTCAGGCGGTGGGTGCGCCGAGCTGCTGTTCAGTGGAGGTTGGTTGCGGCTGGTGCAGGCTGGGTCCATGTTGGCTAAGTATGGGGGAGAACATCTGAGCGACCTGTTGTGCGACCATTTGAGTCACCTGTTGGAGGAACTGCTGCGTTTGTTGTTGTTGTTGCATTTGTATTTGCTGCTGCATCTGCTGTATTTGTTTCATCTGCTCTGCTTGCTGCTGTTGCTGCTGTATGAGTTGTTGTATCCATACCGGCGGCTCGTTAGAGTTCTGGCTTGCTGCCTGGTGCTGGGGTGCAGGTACGTGGGATTGCTTTCTTGCCTGCTGTCGTGTGGATGAAGTATTTCCAGATGGTGTGCGACACCGCCCAGGTGAAAGGGACTGGCGTCGCTTGCTTTTCTCAAGGAGCTCGGTTTCCAATCTCTCTTCTTCCTCAACTTCAAAGTGCAGCGCCCGGAGCCGATCTGCTCGTGATTTCTGCCGTTGATTGTGTTTGCACTTGACTTGTTCCATTGTACGCTGAATTTCTTTCAGTTGTTGTTCCAGACGTTTCATTGTGCTATCGAAATCGGCTTGATCGCGGTCTTGCTCGACCTGGAGTGTCTCAAGCATCTGGCGTGCATTTGGGCTGCGACCGCCCTTGAGACCTCTCGCAGTTATATCGGCGTAGGAGTGGAGCGGATCCTGGATCTGAACCTTGTTCGACCCGCGCAGCTGGGAGGTAGTACTCTTGGAACCGGGACGTGAGTTAGTGGTGCCAGAGGGTTGCTTGGATCGCTGCCTGCGCTTGCGCGAGCGGCTCCGTGCCAGTCTTTCTTGTTTGGCTCCTTCCCTTTGTTTAGCGCGCTGAGCGAATTGAGCTCGAGCGGGACAAGAGGGATCAGTAGCCACGTGTCCATCCTGTTTACAATGACCGCAGTACTTGGCCTCGCCATTCGGGCAGGCTTCCGGGGGTTGCTCGTGTTGTTTTCCGCAGTTGCTGCAGACCGGCTGGTTAATCGGGCAGGTGGTAGCTTTATGTCCCGGGCGGTGACAGCGCGGGCACACGAGCGATCGCTGTTCGTAGCATTCCACCCTTCTTGGGAAGCTCCAATACATAACTTCGCGTGGCGGATGCGGAGATGCAAAGTGGATGAGGACTGTACCTTTGGAGCCCATAGGCCGGGCCGTCAGGACATCCACTCCGTCGGCGTACAGCGCCTCCAGAAGCTTAGCCGTGGGTTCGTTGGGTTTGCAGCCATGGATTACTCCCCGGGAGATACCGTCCGTGGGAACTTGGTGCGTACGCACCGGGAGTGGTGGTCTCGATCGCAAAGGTAACACACCCATACGGAGGAGATGCGTGGCCTGCGTGGAGTCGCACGTAGTAACGACGATGGTATTAGAGAGTTTGCTCACCCTCAGTATCTGATGTTTGAGCAACTTGGGGTCACCGGCGAAGGAGCTGATAATGGTCTTCAGCTCTTCTGGGTCCAAGCCCAATACGTCGCATCTTTCTGTGGGCTGTATCTTGATTACATGGGTGCCGAGAGTTACACGTTCCTTGCGGCTTGTGGTGGGTAGGGGTTGGCCCGATGCCTTGAGTTGCGCTCGGCGCTGGGTTCTCGTTGTAGCCTTTTCCCAAAGTCCCTCCAAGTCAGTGGCGTCCGGCTCTCGCGAAGCCCATGAAGCCTGGAGACTCGTGTCTGCGTCTTTAGGACTATCGTCGGACGAACGAAAACGCTTTGCATTATTGGACGGGCCGAAGTCCTCCGCGTCCTCGTCCATCTCTTGCGAGGGAGGGGGAGAGGTTTCGTACGAAGTGACAGCGGCATGATCCTGAGTAGCCTGCAGCAACTGCAGCCGCGGTGGCGCAACCAGAGGCGTCGTCATGTCCGGGAGTTAAAACTGCGTCGTGGGTCCGATGGGCCGGCGGCGCAACCGTCACCGTGCCCTATTCCTTGCCGCGCTGGGCCAGTAGGCTTAGCGCGGAGGGTTCAACGAAAGACTCATAAAAGGTGAAAAAGGGCTCGAAATTGAGCAAAAAGTTGCTCACGGATGCGAGTAGAGCTCTCAAACCGCTGGTGAAATCAAAGAAGAGAAGAGATGAAACCAATTACATTCCAGTACAATTAGGACAAGGCCGCAGGAATGCCAGGAAACGATTCGAACCAGTCTTCTTCGTCTTTCCCAAAGGGGTCATCCTGACTGACAACTCAAATGTATTATGCCTCATCTTCATCTTCACTCACTCCGATGCAAATGGCAGTGAAACAAAAAAACAAGGGTCATATGAAAAAGAGAAAGGCAAGAACAAAAAAAGGATTAAAAACAAAATATAGAAGGAAGAAAAAAATATAGAAGGAAAAAAGTAATGAATTCCCTGTACAGCGGACGTTGCTACTGTGCTTTTTCTATATGACCCTTGTTTTTTTGTTTCACTGCCATTTGCATCGGAGTGAGTGAAGATGAAGATGAGGCATAATACATTTGAGTTGTCAGTCAGCGCTGCGTGAGTGTTCTTCCTGTGTGTGCGTGATTTTCGATTTTAAGTGTGTCTGATCTTGTGCGCTGTGAAGCATTATCATGGATTACCAACTCGCCCAAGCTGAAGTTCTGACCAATTTGTCATCTTCCCCTCATACCGTAACGCGCGATAAAAATCAAACATTATCTGTCTTTTTCACAAATATCCGTAGCATCATTCCAAAACGTACCGCGCTGCATAGTGTTCTTGAGGACAATTCGTCTGACATAGTCATTCTCACGGAAACCTGGTTAAAACCTGATATTGAAGATAAAGAACTTTTCCCTGCACATCTATGCTATAACATTTTCCGGCACGACCGGCCCAGCAGGAGAGGCGGCGGTGTGCTAATCGCAATAAAAAAGAATATTTCCTCTTTTAACATTTGTTTAGTTAACCATGGTTTAGAATTTCTGTGTATATGCATTTCTACATCGTCCAGCAATGTCATTCTTGGTGTATGTTATAGGCCACCGGATTGTGCTTCATCCTTTCATACAGAACTGTGCTCCGTGCTTCTGGACATAAAAAATCGTTTCCCGAAAGCTGACATGCTCCTCTTTGGCGACTTTAATTTTCCTTCCATAGACTGGCCTAATCTATCACCAGGAAGCTCCACCGCATCAAAATTGTTCCTAGATATGTGTCTCAACCTAAACTTCACACAGTTAGTTGATAAACCAACACGCTCTGACAACATCCTCGACTTGGTTTTAACTACGTCATCTGACCTTGTCAAATCCATTCACTACTGCGATGGGCTCAGTGATCACAAAGTACTGCACATCGACTTGTCACTTCCCGTTCTCATGAAGCATCCCATTTCCAAAATTATTCACGATTACAACAAAGCTGACTACGCATCAATTAACCATGAGTTGACCATTTTCTTCGATCATTTCATTTCTAATTTTTATTGTAGATCAGTAGAAGAAAATTGGGTGCTATTCAAGAGTAAAATAAATAATCTGGTACACATGTTTGTTCCAACCATTCATATACGCTCTGACACGACAAATCCTTGGTTTACAAAAACTCTGCTCTCATTAGGCAATAGGAAGAAAAGACTCTTCACAAAAGCCAAACGTACGAACACCCCCCAAGCCTGGGATGCTTACAATTCTGCCCTAAAAGCATACACCAGTAGTCTTCGACTCTCTAAAAAAAAATTATTTTTTCACGACTTACCTAATATACTTCATAGTAACCCAAGGAAGTTCTGGAGCTTAATCTTGCCGAAAAGTAGCAACCCTGTCATCCATCTTAAAAACGCTAATGGCGACCCCATCCTGGAGAGCGACTGCCCTAGAGTCTTTAATGATTACTTTTCTTCAGTTTTTACAAACGAGTGCTTGGACAGCGTTCCCATATTCCCCGATCAACCCTACGAGCCTATGCCCCCTATCACTGTTACTTCTGCCGGAATAAAAAATCTAATTGATAAATTAAAACTTACATCATCTGCTGGTCCCGATAATATCAACTCTAAAATCCTAAAAAATACTAGCATAATTTCAAGCGAGTTTCTTAAATTGATCTTTACCCAATCACTTTCTGAATGCTGCCTTCCCTCTGACTGGAAGATGGCCAGGGTAGTCCCAGTTTTTAAGCAGGGTAGTCGCTCTTCTGTGTCTAATTATCGCCCAATATCATTAACCTCCATCTCTTGCAAATTACTAGAGCATATACTTTACTCCCATATCATGTCTCACCTAGCAAGTAATTCTTTTTTCTTCAAGCAGCAGCACGGTTTTCAAAAGGGACTTTCCTGCGAGACTCAGCTTTGTGATTTTGTTAATGACCTACACACTAACCTTGAATGTCATACTCAGACTGACGCCGTTTTTCTTGATTTCTCAAAAGCCTTCGACCGTGTCCCTCATCAACGCCTACTCTCTAAGTTGTCATCTCTACACATTGACCCACTCACATTTTCATGGATACGTGACTTTCTTTCGTCCCGCGTGCAACTAACGTCAATTAATGACCAAGAATCATCCCTAACAAACGTGACTTCTGGTGTTCCGCAGGGGTCTGTTTTAGGGCCTCTGTTATTCTTAATATATATAAATGACCTCCCTAGCAATATTTCCTCTAAAATACGTCTATTTGCAGATGACTGCGTCGTCTATAACAAAGTAACATGTGTGCAAGATAACGACCAACTTCAAAGTGACTTATCTAAAATTAGCAAATGGTGCGATGACTGGTTGATGTCGTTAAATAAATCTAAATGCAAACTAATTCGCTTCACTAGGAAAAAATCTGTACTGTCCTACCAATACTACCTGGACTCCGACTTAATTGAGAATGTTTCTATGTATAAATATCTTGGTGTAAGACTAACACCCGACCTCTCCTGGAATAATCACATTG